CACGGCTTTCTGGGGTCTTCATGGATGCGCGAACTTCACGGATTAATTGTCCAATCTCGCTTACCTCGTCCAGACATGGTGGACGACGTCCAATATCCGGATTGATGCGCACGTAGCGCGAAGCACGGCTACTCGTTGCGCACATGTCAGAGCGAAACTTATCCCACGCTTTCTCTGCGTCGAGAATATTGTCCATGAGGTTTCGCTGCCGATTTGTTCAGCACAGTTCTCAGAAGTCTTCGCGTCGCAATTGAAGCAAATCTTGGAAGGACGTACCATTGTAGAAACGATCTGAGGCATCGTGTGAAAAGTAGGTTGTCGGGCACTTTCTTCATCAGTACGTTCCACTTAACTGCTTGTTGAGGCACATCTTGAGAACCCGGAAGACTAAGACATGTAACGTTGAATATGCTTACTTTAACTCAGAAGCCATTGCTGTCGAGTCGGGCTGGCCGGCTTGCACGTCCGCCTTGTTTTGACTTGTGCCTATGGAAAGGAAGAGATCGGGGTCTTGACCAGCTACATCGGGCCAGAGCAGCTTTCTCTCATGGTTCATGAGCCGGACGGGATTGTTGTGGTAAAGCGCGCCGTCTAAGTATGTGCGATAGGTATGAGCGTGCTCGAACGGCTTGAAAAAGCTGGGTGCAGCCGACGTGGCAGCTGCCGCGTCTGCGATGGAGAAGCCGAACTTTGGCCGATCTGGTCGCAGAAACTCATACTCTGCGGGGCGCAGTCTTTTCTTGTCGCCCTCCGGCCGGCTGTAGTTCGCAATAACGATCGCTTTAGACCCGGTTTTGTCCGTGGCGGTCACGGCGACCTTTGTGTTAAGATACGAGCTCCGTTCTCCATAGTTGCCGAAAAGGTGTTCTTCCCCAAATTCTCGCGACAACGTCTGCCTGAGAGGGCCAGTCGAATACTTGGAAGCAAGCCTCAGTGTTATCAGGTGTCTCAAGAAAGGGATGTTGTGCAACATCCGCGGTGTGAAAGCGGTACTGCACAGCTTTCTGAACTTATCGGAGCAGCGCCGAAGGCTCCAAGCTTTAGCAACCATTGCTAGCGCAATAATGCCACCGGTACTGCGAGGTATGAGTCTTGTGGTATTGGTGAGTACTTGGAACCTTACCTCGTTCCCATAATCAAATCGAAAAATGCCTGAATAGGAATTTTGTCACCGATTTGGTTTTGGAGGGCTCTTAGCACTTCGAGCTCAACGATTCCGCGGATGCCACCACTTTATATATGTCAGCGTTCCATATAAAATCGATCAACTGAAAGAGGAAATGGGGGTAGAGATCGATGGATATGGGTATACGAGGCCATTGCTTGCTTCACCCGGGGTTGAAGGGCGATGAAGAGCTCTCAATAGAAGCTAGAATTGACTTACCCATCAAGACATAGGAGGCGAACTCCCGCGTGTTCAGGCTTAAACCTAATGAGGCATGGCACTTCCCAATCCGTTTTCTTCGGGTGTAAAGGGCAGCAGTCTAGTCTGATAACGGACCTCGTGCTACTATTGTCGTGCAGAGGTTGTCCATGGGCTCGCACACACTGCGTGCAGAGTACATGACCGCAACGAAGAGCGTGCTCAGGTGACTGCATAAGACAGCAGAAGCATGTGGCGTAACTCAAAATCCCACCAGCTGAACCCAAAGAAGCATCATAACAGCTCACCATGTCGTCGCGATGGATTTGCATCATGTAAGCTTCCTTGGAATAGCTTGGGGTTCGTTGCGAGGCATTCTCTAGTTCGCAATCGATGTTGCGCATCTGCAACCGAATTTCCTTCTTCCAAGATGGTAGATAGCCTTCTGGGTTGATCCTGGACACAAATTCGCCTGGTTTTATTCTGCCTCTAGCGTCTTGGTGCCCTTTCGGGTTGTGATTGGCAGCAACGTTTACGCATTGATACGAACCGTTGCGGAATTCACAGATGAGATGTTGACTCCAAAAAGTCTCTACTGAGAACTGGCAGTAGTCCGTGTAATGAGCGAAGTGATCTAGAGGAGAGCCTGTCGTGCGTCAGAAGTAGCAAAGACGAATAATTGGGGAATAGGAGAAACGATTGGCGGAAAGAAGTCCAGTAGCACCCGCGGAAGAAGGCAGTAACCAGAGACTAGGCTCATAGCTACAATAATATTACACTGGCCATAGTTGCTGCGTCGGCATTCTCGTGTCGGCCAGGCGCTCGAAATGAGCATCTTGTATGTCGACCCTCAAAGCAAAACTATGCAAAAGAACTGTCACGTACCTTTTCGATGACGGACACAATCTAGAGAAATACTAGAAGCCACAAGTCTAGCCATGCGATCGAATATGAGCGTAGCTTTGCGCGTCGTCTCAAGAGAGGGTGTATTAAGCGCGATTTGCTTGTCGTGGGCCTCTATGGCCAGGGCGAGCTGAAGCATATGGCCACCAAAATCATTGGGTATCGGATTATTGCGCAGAGACATGGTAACAAAGTCGAAAGGCATAGTGAGTGTCCGTGAGAAATGACTGAACACTGACTGGAAATGCGTATCCAACTCAAAAGATTTGAAGAGCATGTTCGCTCGTTTCCGAGTATTGAAGGACCTTTCGCACGATTTCGTGATTACTTGGTGAAGTCGATCGACCTGATCGTGCAATAGCCGATATCGACCTCCGCGTGGTATGCGTATGACTTGAAATGTGGAGTAGTAGCATTGTATGAGTTCCAGAATGTTTCTGACGCGTCGTCCTCTTTCTTTCCAGGTTTTGACGAGGCTGATGAAGAAGGGGTGTCCATGTCTCGGATGAATGCAGTGTTTGTTGGCCGCTAACAAGCTGTCTGTTGCCGATTCGTTGTCCCATTCATATGGATTGGCGCTCGGCCCACATTGGTTCAGTGCAATAACGGCGTGTGGAAGTGTTGGTTGATTAACCGATGTCTCCAATGATGCTTCTGCCCATTGCAGTAAAGGTTGTAGAGTCGTGACTTCGAATGTTCTAAGTAATTATAAGCAAAAAGAGCCCAATAGGAGACCTTACACATACTTGGAGTTCGTGCCATGCATAACAAAGACCACAACATCTGAAAGAGTGTAGAGAATGCGTGGGTAAAGCTCTTTCACGATATATCTTCTTCTTGCCCTCTCAGTATCTGCAGTAGCCCATGCCAATGATCGCATACGGCCTTCACCCAGTTGCGCATGGATGCGTTCGGGATTCGACCGCGACCTACGATTCTCATGGGCACCGATCGGCGGATTCTCTCCGCCTTCTAAGCCCTCACAGTCTGCGTACAGTAGAGGTGTTCGAGAATCGGTGCTCATTGGGTCTGCGTACAGATGTACGTCGGCCGATGTTGGAGTGTGCTCCACTGGATCGTTACCGAGCCTCTCATGTCCAGACTGTGGCTCTAGACGCTTCAAGCCAACAACAGGAGAAGGATAGCGTTCTTTCAGACCACTGGTCCCTTGCAACTGAATGAGCATCTTTATCAATGTACTTTTCCCAGCATCTGGTGCGCGGTTAGTCTCGAAGAGTTAACGATACAATTGATGGATCCGTTACTAGTTTGGCCGATGAAAGATACCAGTTGCGGGTATTTTTCTTTTCCATTTTTGAGCGGGTTACACAACAAGGCTGAATACACATCATAGTCGAAAAATTGTTGACGGTCTGACTGGTCGCCTCTTCTATGGAGGCTGTCGTAATGTTCCGGATCGTCGTCTCTTTTTATTCCTGAAAAGAGGTCAGTAGTTATAAGAGCTCTTATCAAGGAACAAATTGTACCAAACCAGGTAGTGGCCAGGTCGTCCTCGTGGAGTTCTTCCATTTTATCTTCGTCGTATTGTGGATCCAGTATGCTCTTGAGTTTCGCATACACATGATACTCTACCTTCTCGTGCGATCCATCTCTTCCTTTTTTCCCGCCACGGTGCGCCAAAAAGTGTTGCCAACATGGGTCGCAGAACTCACAGGCACAGTCCACACAATACCAGACCTGGGCACGATTGCGGGTACAACCTATACCGCGGCTCTCGCAGTCGTTCAGTGGCCGTTGCATGGTCTTGGAAAGTCCTTAGGCGGTCGTGAAAGAGACAAGGTCGTTAGGAAGTTGCGGGGAAGTCATTGCGGCAAAGATTACCTAGGTCAATGTTCAGCCTCACGCGGGCGCCGTGCTAAGCTGCATATCCATCCAATCGAGACTATGCGGTAAGTGCACCTATGAAGCTTGCTACTGCATGTGGAATCGAAACCAGGCGAATCGAAGTGCATGCCGCCAGCCACACAATCGTTCATTACCGGCAACTCCGCCACTTGTATTGACCGGTCGCCAGAGTGAAGCGACACGATGGCGAGCAGGCGAACCGTGTCGCGTGCGTCACTGCATCATCGCGATACGACGAGTACTGATCGCCAGCCTGATATCCTATTGCAAGGTTGTAGGGTTGTTCGAAACGAGTAGCATGTAAGCATCGTGGTGGATGCTGGACGGCGGTGGCACATCCAAGGCAACCGCGCACAGACCATGTCTGCCCGCTGCGCAACCTGATCGATGCAAAGCGTCATTGTGTCTACTCTTTCGTCTTCCGGCTGGATACCTAAGTACCCAGATGCAACCTCATATTAGCAAAAGCTCGCGAAATAAACGAAGACTACAGCATGGCTGGCGAACCGATAACTCCGTTGCAAGCGCGCTCTTTGTTGCGCGTTGTAAGTAAAGAGTCGCGCAGACAAGACAGCCTTGCAAACAAGCCCGCCATCTAACGCAGTATGCGACATGCAGTCGCTTGGGTCGCGGATACAAAATGTGAAGAAAACTCAACGCAAAGAAACTCGATGCTGTTGTTCGCGTTGCGCTGAAGAGGAAGAAGAAAGTTGAGGTGGGGGCGCGCCAGCTCCGCAAGCGGCAGAGGAGCTTGAAGGCGGTCTGCCCTCACCATGCAGAGTCAAAGGCCTCTGAACGCTGTCGTACAGTCTCTTCACAAACACCAGAATTTACCTACCAACGCCCGACTCAGCACGAGACAGCAATCATGCCTTCCATGGCGAGCTCCATCCACCCCGACTTCCGCGACGATGTCACCTCAGCGGAAGCCCACGCAGTGGACCGGGAAACAGAACGTCTAATCCACCAACAAATGGCTGCAGACAACGCAAGTGGTCGTGAAAGATACATTCAGCTCGCCAAAGAGATGCTGCGTATTAGATTGCGCGCCTACAAGCCCGAGTCACCACCCGTTGCTGGTGCATGGTGCCTGATCGGATCAGCACATCTCAAGGCCTCTCAGCTGCAGGAAGCAAAGGAAGCCACTGAGAAGAGTCTGGAAATATATGCCGCAGGAAACGATGCTGAGAAAGAAAACTCCGCGGCATTGGCGAGGGAACAGTTGGGTTTGATCTTTGAAGGCTTGGGCCAGATCTCCGATGCTAAGGAAATTCGACTGCAAGGTGCGAGTGACGGAACGATGGTGTGTTCGAGTTCACGGGTACGTTGATCATGGGAAAGCATGAAGTGATTCCTCTAACAGGCTTATGTAGTGTCCCTATGCACATTACGCGTTCCGTGTGCAGAACGACGGCCGCCCTGGGCTCTTCAAGTTGGCTGAACTGAATGCGTGTGGTGCATGCAATTCGGCTTTCTACTGCGAACGGCAACGCCAACTGCAGGACTGGAAGAGACATAAAGTTCCTTGTAAGAGATATACGGCTGCTCAAGTAGATTAGGATGGCATATTGCTCTGCTCTCACTAAAACACAGTGTCCTCGTGGTCTCCAAACTCTTCGCCTTTTTGCAAAACCTGTTCAACCAGGTCATTCCTCGCTTCTCTGGCTTTCATGGTCGACGGACTGGTATCGATGCTTTCCATTTGGATTTTGCCAATGTGCATCACCTAGTTCGTCCTCTTATCCCGTATGCTGATTTACGGCACCCTCAGAAAGAGGCATCTACGATTCGTGTCACATTTCACAAAACAATCATGAAGGTAGGAGTATACATTGTCTTCGGCAGTTACAACATATAAAGATATAGTGGTGTGTACGCAGCAACATGCAAAACAGATAGTACCTAGAAAACTACCCCTGGTGATGGATCCCAATAGATTCCCAAGCACGAGCGATACTTAAACATCTTTTAGGAATCTGGCACCCTGACTCTTAAATCCCAGAGTACCCGCAATACTCCACCCACTTATCCATTCCACAAGAAAGAGCCAAAATGGCACGGGAACCACTCGCCCTTGATGGCAGGTTCATGGCATTCGCAAGATCGCAGGCCGGAGAACGACTGTGAGTCACGTACTACCAGCGCAATTACAACAATCGCGCAGACCCAAGCCCAGCGTCAGTTTACCAAAATCAACTTGGTCATGTGAGCTCTATGGGCCACGTCGACTTTGATACGATCAGCGAAGAGGTCGTGGCCAAGAGGGGTCGCCTCAGCCTCACAACAATCACCCTCACGCAGATCATGTTTCCTATCTGGCAATCCAAAGGCTTCTAATTGCTGTCGAAAGAGGAAGTACAAGCACTGACACCCGGAAAAGAGCGCAAGGGCAGCCTCACCCCCAAGAGAGAGCGCAAGGCCAGCAGGGCCAAATACGACCCCAACCTCAAGCGGCGCCGCAAATTCAACAAGACCCCCGACCTCCAGGCCAACAGCAAGAGGTCGCGTAGGAACACGCGTTCCGCTCCGATCACCCCCGAAGACAAGGCCGCGGCCAAGCGCGCCTTCTAGGACACAACGAAGCCCATGGACAACTTCCATGTTGCGGAGGCGGAGTCTCACGAGTCTGGGCATATGCCAACGTTTGCGAGGATGCTCGACAGTGGGCACTAGACACAAACACCGTACGTCCAGTCGACGAAGATATCGAAGACTTCGTTCAGGCTCTACCTTTTCGAGATGTATTACAGTATCGCGCGTTAGAGGAAGCTTGAAGAGGGTAGAGTAGTGCGAGAGATAGGCGGAGAGGGAGCAGGTATAGCTTTTGTTTGGTTCTGTACGACGCGCCGACATTAGGGGTGTATAGGGTTTTGGAGGGGACGTTGGATGCTTTGGTGGATTATGTTGATGTCATACCTCACCGTGGAGGTATTCACTGTGTTTCGCGGCAACATACAGAGGGTAGCTAGGATTATGTATACCCCTTGGATACACTAGAATAAATATCGGTAGCTGCTACCTACAACGTATGCTCTAGAGGTGCCCAGCGAACGCGCTTGCTAACATTCTAAGGTTAATGTTGCCTCTAGGCTATAGCGAGGCAAGCGCTCTGCAGGTGCCATCTCTAAGAGAAATCTTAGTTAGTACGATCGAGATCGTGAACACATCACTATATCGCGGAGGCATTTGCACTTTTTTACAGTAACAGACGTGAATTACAGAAGACTGTGTATAGATGAAAAACAACTCTGAATATGTGCATACTACCGCTACCTGCAATGTATACCTCAAAGATACTTAACAGGTGCTTCTTCCAACACTTTAGCGTACATGTCTTCTGCAGGCTACCACGCGGTAAGAGCCCTACGCAACTCCGCTTCCGCTTCCAGACAGGAAATCGCTCCTCAACCCACACATCAAGCACCAACAACCCACCCATAAACTTAGCAGCCACTTCCTCACACCTCCCCTTCCCACACCCCTAACATACCAATTCCCGCCCGCCGTCCCATCTCCTCTCTTCTCCAGCTAACCACACACAGGAGATTAGGTACGTAACTCTTTCTATCTACCCTATTATTCCATGAAAATCACTTTCACTAACAAACCCACGTCTAGCTGTCTCCTCACCATGTCCGACTGCACCTTCGCCACGCGCGTTTTCGACGCCTTCGTGGCACACACGATCACGGCCGTTTTGGCCATAGCGCTGCTCCGCTGGGCCCGTTGGGCGGGCTGGGAGATGCCCTGGGAGAGGCGGGAGACGAGAGAGAGGAGGGAGGTGTTGGCGGCGTTTGAGCGCCGCATGAACGGTATTATTGATCGGTATGTTTAGTGCGTATATCGATGTATGTAGTTGATTTCTTTTCTTTCCTTTGTTCGTCCTTTCGTTTTCAGCATATCTTTCTTTTAGTATGGTTAGCTATTAGCTTTGTTATCTAGGGAATATTTTAAGGGCCTTGAACCCCAACTCCCCGCGGTTAGGCCTGGGGCCACTCCCGGTGATGAGAGGGAGTGGTGCGGACGGGGGTATTCTTATTCGTTATTTGAAGAGGCTGCGCTTGGAGATGTTTGCGAGAGCGCTGCTCGTCACAGCTCACAACTCACTCCCGGTTTGCCGAAGACATCCAAAACACGCTATCGACAACTCGATCTACGAAGTCGTTGTATGCTTCAACTGGACCTGAGCCACTCGTATTGGCTTCGCGCGTTCGACATGTCGTCTCCAAACATCATGATGGTCGAGAGAACTTCCTCCTCGCGAGGCCATGTCGTCTTGACAACGGGGTTTGGTACTGGCCGACTCTTCGCTGAACGAGGTGACCCTGAACCTTGGTTCTACCAGCGCACTTTCGGCAGACGCACAACATCCCTCTTGCACATCTTCAGTCTCACTTCAACCTCCCTCGATCGTACCTCAACATCACCATCATGCCGGTTTTCGATCTAGGCCGTCTAGGTCGCTTCCAGATATCCTATCTTCCGCCATCAGACATACCGCAAGGAGAGCACCAAGACGTCCCATCAGTCCCGCCACCTGAGTACACGGACATCGCTGAAAGCGAGATCAAGTACACCTCTCCATCGCAAGCACAACCACCAGAATGCAAGACCGAACAGATCCGTCGCTTTCTCATCGAAATCGTTGCAATAACCTTCAACGCGGACTTCGACTCGCTAAACGCAGCCTTGTACAACATCCCCGTACCAGACAACACAAACACCATACTCTGCGACTCTGAGCGCGCAGACCTGGTAGCTCAATCCGATCTTGTACGCAAGGTGCATAGACACTTCCTCCACAACACCAAGACTCATATATCCCAACAAGACGAGAGAGCCATCTGCTCCACCATAACCCTCGCCGTCGCCCCCCTCCGCGTTGCACCCCCCCCTCACCTCCTACCAAAGTACACTCCCGCACTTCACTCTAGACATGATAGGGTGGTACGGCGAAGAAACGCGACATCCATCTGGCACACGCTGGACAAGCACGCTCCCCGGACACTGGGATATAAAGCCTCTGGGGTATTGCGATCAAGAACAGGTTATGTTCTGCATGAGGTCGCTTTTCCATATTATCAAGGACATTGCTCCGAACGACAAGGTGCACGACGTGCTAATGGAAGCATGGGACACTTGTCGGCGACGCGGTGGGTGGGAGATGAAGACGTTGCTGGGCGACTCAAAGATGTGTTGGCCCTTGAGGAAGGGGTACCATCATATGGGGGATGCGTTGAGGGATATGCCGCTATTGGGGCCTTGGGTTGTCGTTGGGGAGTCGAACGAAGCACACTGGATTAGCTCTGCTACTTCCAAGTACTCCATATCACCCTTCGTTCGCACCATGGGAGCAGTCTCTGCGAACGGCATGTAAAACAATCAAAACCTTCATTAGTACCAGATATGTCTCGCCATCAACCTGCGACTGCCGAGTTCCGAAGGAGTGTTGCGGTGTGGAGAGTTTGGTAAGGGTGGGTCACGGGAGGCGATCGACGCATTGTGGCTCGGCCCCCAGCCACAATGCAGGATGACATCATGCTGGCTGTACCTGCAGCAACCAACACCACCAATTTGACCGCAAACCTGCTGTCTAGCCCCGTGCGAAACGCGGCAAGCGTGTTTCCACTATTATTGCCATCGTGCCATCTTTCCCGGCCCGTCCGCCTCTTCTCTTCTCCTCAGTCCTCTGCATTTCTTTGTATTCCCTTTAGTCTGTCGCTTCGACTCTAATTTCCCTGTACGCGACGACCACGCGAGCGCCCCTTGGTCTTTAGCCCCTGCCACCACAACAACACCACCAAGATGGTGCACCAACGCGCATCCCAGCGGGCTCTCCTGCTGAGCGCGACACTCGGCCTCGCCAATGCATTCGCTCTGCCAGAGCCGACAGCTGTCCCCGCCAAGGTCGAAGTGCGCGCGCCTGTTGTGACTCCCGCGGCGATCCGGTTCGTAGGGCGGCACAGCTACGTGGAGAAGAGGAACATCATCGACGACATCAAGAGCGGCGTGGATAACTACGCAGCCTCGATAGGCAGCGTGCTGGGAACAGATCTGCCCAGCTTCTTCACAGAGGGTAAGCAAACGCCTGCATGGCAAGCTTCGCGCTAGGAAGGCTTGTGCTGACTTTTTTCCTCTAGGCATCCCCGGCTGGTTTGAAGGCCTCCCCACCGGCAAAGAAGTCCTGTCCAGCCTCGGCATCGGCGACGACGACCTGGCTGCGAAGCCCACAGAGGTCCTCAACATCCCGCCCTATGCCAACTGGACCGACCAGGGCTGGAACGTGCGCTTCCACGGCAATGTGTACAAGTTCCCGGATATCAGCCAGGACAAGGTCGACGACCTGGCCAACGTCTTCCTCATCGACACGAGTGTTGCCGAGCTGCCCGACAACCAGAAGGAGCAGGCCCGCAACCTGACGCGCTCCATCTTCATCGTCCAGCAAGGCGACGTCAATGTCTCCATGTCGCTCGAGCCCGCGCCCATGCAGGGCGGCGACGGCGAGCCCGGCGGCGGTAACTCCATCGAAGCCCCCGGCGGCGTCCAGAACCTCACGCTCCCCTACGAGACCACCGAGCTCGGCGACTTCGACGTCTTCGTCCCCATCCAATCCAACGGCCTGATCCCCGGCAACGAAACCAACAACGTCCAGCGCCTCAACGTCTACACCAACGGCACCAACAGCGGCAACGCCACCGCCTTCCTCGTCCCCTCCGAGGGCATAACCTTCATCTCCGACATCGACGACATCCTACGCGTGACCAAAATCTACGACCCGAAAGAAGGTCTCCTAAACTCCTTCGCCCGCCCCTTCACCCCCTGGATGAACATGCCGGATATCTACGCAAACTGGTCCCGCACCCTCCCCAACAACACACATTTCCACTACCTAACCACGACCCCTGAGCAAGCCACCCGTCTGTATATGGACTTCATCTACAAAACCTACCCCGGCGGCTCCTTCGATACGCGCCCCTTGAACTTCTCAGATATATCCGCCACGCTGTCCATCCGCAAATTCCTCCTTACCAAAGTGTTTGAGACTTTCCCCACGCGCAAGTTCGTCCTCGTCGCCGATACTTCGAACAGCGATGTCATGAAAGCGTATCCCGAACTCGCTCACGACTACCCCAACCAGGTCCAATGCATCTTCCTGCGCAACACCTCCGCGACGGATAGCGACATGTGGTTCCCGTACAACACCGAAGGTTTCAAGGGTCTGAATAACAGGAGCTACATGTTCTTCCGTGAGCCGAATGATTTGGCGGGACTGGATATTGTTAATGGACAGTGTTTGAATGAGAGTATTCCGCAGAATGTTACGTTTTCGAGGCAAGCGGAGATTTTGGGAATTCATGGCGATAGTGCGGGTGGTAAGCTGCAGAGCGGTGCGACGATTAGCTTTGTTTTTGCGTTGTTTGCGGCTGTTGCGCTGAGTTTGTAGGGATGATGGTGGTTTGAGATGATTGTACATGAAGCATGGTGTTTGATGGTTTTTGGATTTATGTAATTTGGGGGTTTGGCATAGCGGCATGGTCCGCGTTGGTTTTGGATATCTACTGTGCATAGCTTTTTTCTATCCTTGGGACAATTATCAGATTGTTTTGTGATGGTTGAGTCTGGACTGTTTGTGTGTGAGCGAGCACTTTTCCTTGTCCATGCGCAAACAGACCAGACTCAATCCTCACATTCTTGTATACGAAAACATCTCTCGCTCTACCATCCACGTCGATATCCGTAACAACTTCCTCGATCCACATCGACGCACACTCCCATGCCACCTACCCACCCTTCCCTCACCACCCCATCACCGCATCCTCCTCCCCCTCTCCCGCCGACAATCCTCCCTCCCACTACCCACATTCAACCTGTGAAACCAACACACCCCGCTTAGCCGATCATCACCTCGTTGATCCAGTTTCCGCCTGCTACCATACAGGCATCTAGGTAATTGTGGCTTCTTTCGGTTGATGAACTTGCTCCATGACTCATCCCATATCTGGTCGAGATTGGGGCCGTTGCGTTTGTTCTTTTTCGCGTTGAGCGCTCCGATACGGCCGGCGTGGGTGCGGAGGTTGTAGAGGAGGTGGGGGGTGGCTCGGTCGAGGGCGTCGAGTGCGTCGAGCGCGTCGATGTGGTATGGGTTGATGGGAATGTTCTCTGTGTTTTGGGATCTGTCTTCATCTTCGGAGATGGAGGAGGGGGACGGGGAGCGGGAAGGGGTTGAAAGAGGGAGCGAAGAAGAAGAGGATGGAGTTGATGATGATGAAGTAGAAGAAGAGTGTGTGCTTTCAGGTGAATGAGGACACGATAATTGGGTTGTTGAGACAAGCTCACGAACGACCCGGTAGTATTTTAAGCGGTTGGCGCTCTCAACAGGGAGTGAGTTGCTTTCGGGCTCGATTTTATGAGTGACGGTGGGCTCATTCTTCTTGTAGGCTATCATTTCAGAATCGCTAGGACATTCGACCATGTAGTCTCCCCATGAAGACACGGTCCTACCTACTTCGTCAATAGCCATTACTGAGGGCTCGTGGCAGATATGTTGAGTGGGAGATTTAGCTTCTGCGCCCCTGTCGAACGCTTTCGCGGCTCTTGTATAGTTTAGCAAACGCATTCTCAAAGACAGTGGTTTGATAAGAACGTGGATATCGATACATTGACATTGATGTTTCTAGAAGTCTTGAGCCTTCTCCTTCGGCCTTCTCCTGGACTATTCTAGGAGACGAGTTGAGCACGGAAGCGAGATATAAGACTGTATATGTACCATCTTATCTAAATTCGATAAACGCTCGTGGGACCTGTGTTATCGACTTTTATCTCATCTATTATCCAATTTTATACTACGACAACTGACTACAAGTACTCAACGAAAGCCTCCCCCACATACTCCTTCACTGCTCACATTCCCCGTTTTCTTCTCCTCAGTCAACCTCTACTTATGGAACTTACACACCATCCTCACGACTGTTTTGGCCTCCAGCCACTGCATCCGCGTCCGTTCCTGGGCCAGATCCAGTGTCTGCGTGCGTATTGAGGGTGGGATGAGTGCGTATATATTCTAAGTAGTCGCTGTATTTGTGTAGGTTCAGTGCTTCAACTTTGGTAGAGATAGCGAGAGAGAGGTAGCCCATGCGAACGAATGGGTGGCAGGGACTGCGCGGAGGTAGCGAGACAGAATGGGAGCGATTGGCTCTGCGCTGCGGAAGAGTTGAACTGCGCGGGCGGAAGAAGCTGATAGACTGGGGTTCTGGATGGGTAGGCGAGTGCTGGACTCCCTCGCTTTGGCGGTTGATTGGGCTAATAGGATGTGGCTGGTTTGCGTTGTTGGCCTGCATGGAGGAGTTGGGGAGCTCAGTGAGTTGAGAGTCGGCTGCGTCAGCGTTTGAAGGCATGATGTTGGCTTCGTGGTGGAATTGACGGCCTTTAGAGGGCGGTTGTGGCTTTTGGAAGATACCTTGAACGGGTGATGTTGCTTTGTGCTTCCTAATGAGCCGTGTGGTAGGCAATATACAATCTGGTGAATGGAAGTCTAAGACATTGGATTGACAATGACTTTGCTGGGAGTGATACATTGTAAGTCATGTCTCCAGTTCTTAGGTAGGGGTGGGACCGGAAACAATGCTGTCCGGGTTGTGAGACATCTTGAAGATATTCTCATTGTCTTACTCCAGACACGACGAGCGAGGTGAACCCATCGCATGCGATATCTGCACGCCATATGCTCGATCCTTGCTCGAAGACAACTCCCTATATGGCTGCCTCACTCCATACCCTCCTCCTCAAACCGTCTCGCAACCTCCAAAACCTCCGCATCCAACCTCGACCCCCCCAAAAACGTAACACTAAACGGCAACACCCCCCCATCCCCCTCCTTCCCACTCAACTCCTCAACCGAATAAGTCCCCGCCGGCACCGCCACCCCACAAAGATCCAACACATTCCCACAGTGCGTAAACTCACCCAGAATACTATTTTTCTTAATCGGATCAGCGAGCACCTCGTCTATGCGCCAGTGCGTAGGCGTAGTCGGCACAACCACGACATCAACGCCAGATGCGGAGTACGCGAAAACCTTCTCTGCTTGTCGCGTATAGAGGGCTTGGGCCTGCAGGTCGCGGTAGGCGTCTACGGCTGAGCTCTTCCGCGCGACGACGGCGTCCATGAGTTGTGCTGTTACGGGGTGGAGGGCTGAGCGGTTCTTGGCGAGGAAGTCGTCTGGAAGCGAGGCGAGGCGTTCGGATACGAATGTGCCGTCGTAGAGTAGTTGACCGGCTTTTTGGAAAGGGGACCAGTCGATTGGTGTGAGGATGCCGCCGATGGATTGGAGTTTCGATACCGTTTCGTTGAACATGCGACGGGCTGGTGGTGAGCAGA